ATTAGGGGTCAAAAAGGGGCAAAAAACAAGCATTTTTCTAGTTTCAGGACAATAACTTGTGTGTAAGCGTATGGATCTTTATGAAATTGTACTACAAGGTTCCATATCACAAAGGAAAAGCTGGGTTTGAGTTTGGGGGTAATTGCCCTAAACGTTTAGGAATTTGGGGCCAAAAAGGGACCAAAAAACAAGCATTTTTCTAGTTTCCAGACAATAACTTGTGTTCAAGTGTATGGATCTCTCTGAAATTGTACTGCAAGGTACCATACCACAAAGGGAAGGCTGGGATTGAGTTTGGGGGTGATGAATCATAAGGGGGTTCAAAAAATTGGGGGGTATTTTTTTTTCCTTTTTTTCCTTTTTTTTTCTTTAAAATTTTCCCTTTTAAATTGTTTATTTCTGATTTATATATAAAAGCAAATAATAATGATATATATATATATGGTTTGAATAGGTAAATGAAAATTTTTTAAGTTCTTAGACCACATTCATTCTGTGTCAGAAACCTATGCTGTGTCAAATATTTAATCACAATCCAAATTCAGAGCTGTATCAAGCTTGAATGTTGTGTCCATACTTGCCCCAACTGTTCAGGGTTCGACCTCTGCGGTCGTATCAAGCTGCGCCCAGCGGAGCATTTTATTCATTCATAGAATAAATAGGAATGATTGGAATAAACATACGCTTTATTTACATTATATAGATCAGTTTTTTGTACACAAATTATCACAAAGGCTTTTCAAGTTTTTTATCTTATTGCAGCCCCTTTCTGCAATTTAATTCTGGATCCGCCCTGTTCTACATTCCCCCCTCCCCCCACACACTTACACATACACACATACTCGCATAGAAGGAAAATGCAACACGTGGTTGGTGTACACCAAATTAGTCAGAAACTAACAGACCAGGTCTGTCTGTAAAATCAGATTCGACGTGAAGGCTAAGGGTTTTTTAAGGGTTTTTGTTGTTGCAAAACAAAAACAAATGCAGAGCAAATGTTCAATAGTAGAGGGTATGGATGGGGTCTACAGTCATGAAAGTATACAGAATAGAGAAAAAACCTAAAGTATACAGAAAAGAGAAAAATGAAAAAAAAAAAAAAAAAAGAATGGAGAAAAATTATCTAAAAGTTAAAAGAATCAATAAAGTTTGTAAAATAAATAGAATATTGCAATTGTGATTAAGATTTTGATATTTATGTTTCCTTAGATGTTTAAATATAATGATTTTATAGAATGAATTATTTTACTTTTATTCATTGTCTCTTCATTCCAGTTATCATGGTTATTATATCATGTATGTACAATACCTGACATTTTTTCTAGCATGTCTAGTGTTTATGCATATTTTCTGAAAATTTTAGTAATTATATATAATCAGTAAAGTTACCAGTGATTATACATAATCCCTAATTCTACAAATTCACTGTAACACATATACATGTACATGCCTAATTGGGATTTTGACCGAGATTTCACAGTTGACTGAACATGGAAATGTGTCATAGTGCGAGAAGGGCATGGTGTCATAGGGACAAGTATTCTTGTTGACTGTTGTGTTGAAAAAGTTCTATTAATGCAAAAGGATAAACAGTGCATGGCCATAAGTATTCATCACTTTCAATTTTTGCTACACAGTATCATGAGTATATTTCATCATGTTCATATAAAAACAGTTTTTCAGAAAAATATTTTTAAGGCATTTAGGGTTGGATTTATATGGTCAAAACTTGAAAAGAGTGAATTGGAAAATGATAAGCATCACACGATCTATCTATTTTTGTACGACCGCAAAATTTTTTTTGGGTTCGTATAATGCTATGATGTCATCGTCGTCGTCGTCCAAAGACACATTTGGTTTCTGGACAATAACTTTAGTTTCAGTAAATGGATCTCTATGAAATTTTACAAGAAGGTTTAATACCACAAAAGGAAGGTTGGGATTGATTTTGGGGGTTATGGTGCCAAGAGTTTAGGAATAAGGGGCCAAAAACAAGCATTTTTGTAGTGTCTGGACAATTACTTATGTGTAAGTGTACGGATCTCTCTGACATTGTACCACAATATTCCATATCACAAAGGGAAGGCTGGAATTGAGTTTGGGGGGTAATTGCCTCAAACATGCAGGAATTAGGGGCAAAAAAGGAGCCAAAAACAAGCATTTTTCTAGTTTCCAGACCATAACTTGTGTTTAAGTGTATGGATCTCTCTAAAATTGTACTACAAGGTTCCATACTACGAAGGGAAGGCTGGGATTGAGTTTGGGGGTAATTGCTCCAAGGGGGGGTTCAAAAAGTTGGGGGGGGGGGATTTTTTTTTCAAATTTTTTGAAGGGGTTCATATTTTTTTTTTAGTCAAAATTTTTCAAATCTTCAATTGCACAGTATTGTGCAATAGATTTTTAAGATCTTTGACCACATTTATTTTGTATCAGAAACCTATATTATGTCAAAAACATGATCACAATCCAAATTCAGACAGTATCAAGCTTGAATATTGCCCCAACTGTTCAGGGTTCGACCTCTGCGGTTCTATCAGGCTGCGCTCAGCGAAGCATTTGATTAAACGTGTTATAATTTTTGACAGCCTTTTTTGAAGTGATGGTTCGCTGAATTATCCATTTTTATACGACCGCAAAAAAATTTTGAGGTCGTATATTGGTATGACGTTGGCGTCGTCGTCGTCGTCGTCGTCCGGCGTCGTCGTCCGAATACACAATGGTTTTCGCACTCTAACTTTAGTTTAAGTGAATGGATCTCTATGAAATTTTACCATAAGGTTCAATACCACAATAGGAAGGTGGGGATTGATTTTGGGGGTTATGGTACCAACAGTTAAGGAATTAGGGGCCAAAAAGGGGCCGAAAATAAGCATTTTTGTAACTTCCAGACATAACTTGTGTGTTAGCATATGGATCTCTTTGACATTGTACCACAAGATTCCATATCACAAAGGGTCAATGCTGGGATTGATTTTGGGGTTAATTGCCTCAAAATTTTAGGAATAAGGGGCCAAAAGGGGGCAAAAAACAAGCATTTTTCTAGTTTCATGACAATAACTTGTGTGTAAGTGTATGGATCTTTCTGAAATTTTACTACAAGGTTCCATTTCACAAAGGGAAAGCTGGAATTGAGTGTTGTGGTAATTGCCCAAAACGTTTAGTAATAAGGGGCCTAAAAAGGGGTTTAAAATAAGCATTTTTTAGTTTCTAGACAATAACTTGTGTTCAAGTGTATGGATCTCTCTAAAATTGTATTACAAGGTACCATACCACAAAGGCAAGGCTGTTATTGAGCTTGGTTTGGGGGGAAAGGGGGATGGGGGTGATGAATCATAAGGGGGGCGGGGGTCAAAAAAGGGGTAATTTTTTTTTTTCCTTTTTTTTTTTGTTTAAAATTTACATTTTAAGTTAGTTATTTTTTTTCACGAAGAGAAAGTAGGAATTGAGTTTTGGGGTTAATTGCTCAAACATTTATGAATAAGGGGCCAAATATTGGTCGAAAATAAGGATTTTTTTAGTGTGCTCTAATGTTTAAGGAATAAGGGGAAAAAAGGTTAAAAAACAAGGGTTTCCATTTTAATAGACAAATAATTGAGTAAAGAACATTATTTAAAAGCAGTGTAAGGTTGGTAATTCAAACTCATTTAAATATCTCATCTACACTGCTTTTAAATTATGTAAATTGGAAATTTGCCAATAACTTTATTGTTAATAAATGCATTGGAAATTTGCCAACAATTTTAGTGTAATAAACTTCATTGGAAATTTGCCAATATAAAATTTTGCTGATGAAGGTTTTTTGTTTACCTTTAGCCTTGACTATGAAGTCATTTTCTATTTTTATAGCCTTATGATGTAGTTGAATTATTTAATACTTTTATGATGTGTTTAAATGGGGTTTTATCATGTTTATGGTTGCAAATTTATTGTTTTAGTATAATAAACTCCATTTAAAATTTGCCAATAAAAAAAATTTTTGTTTATTTTTAGCTATGATTATGATGTCATTTTCTATTTTACTTTTATGGTTGCAAAGAAATTTTTATTTTTAGATATTACTGTTAAATGATGCTGATTAAGGTTTTTGCTATGTTTAGCCATGACTATGATGTCATTTTCTATTTTAATATCTGTTATGATGTATTTAAATGGGCTTTTATGGTTACAAAGGAATTTTATTTTTAGATATTACTATAAAATGTTGCTGATGCTGATTAAGGATTTTGTTTATTTTTAGCCATGACTATGATGTCATTTTCTATTTTAATACCTTTATGATGTAATTTCCATTTTTAGATATTACTGTTAAATGATGCTGATTAAGGGTTTTTTGCTATGTTTAGCCATGACTATGATGTCATTTTCTATTTTAATATCTTTATGATGTATTTAAATGGGCTTTTATGGTTACAAAGGAATTTTATTTTTAGATATTACTTTAAATGTTGCTGATTAAGGATTTTTGTTTATTTTTAGCCATGACTATGATGTCACTTTCTATTTTAATACCTTTATGATGTATTTAAATGGGCTCCCATGTATTTAGATTTTTGATTATTTATACATGTTACCAAATTGGTCCACATTGAACAAAAACGGTCCAAATTTCAACTTTATTACATTACATCAAACATTGAATTCTACATATTCTTTGATATATTGAAATTAACAAACAATTTAGTTTATGGAGATTCCACCATAATAGGTAAATTAAATTTTTTCCACTTCTTACACCACATTCATCCTGTGTCAGAAACCTATGCTGTGTCAAATATTTAATGACAATCCAAAGTCATAGCTGTATCAAGCTTGAATTTTGTGTCCATACTTGCCCCAACTGTTCAGGGTTCGACCTCTGCGGTCGTATCAAGCTGCGCCCCAGCGAAGCATTTTATTACTATTTTGCAGATTTTCAGATTTTGGCCATTATCTGGGTAAAAAAGGAAATTGTAAGTTGTTTTCAGTCTATTTTTTTTTTTAATTTATGTTTTTCATTTCAGTGAATGAACTTTTGACTGCAGATTATGAAGCTGGTGTAGGCATGATGGGGGAATGTAGAAATAATCCCAATTCGAATGAGAATAAAATGGAAAAGGAGATGATGGATGAACATGATGAAGATCAAAATATGAATAAATCCAATTTTATAAGCAATAATATGGACAAGACTTCCAATGATAAGCCTGAAAAACAACACCAGAAACCAAGCCGTAATGAAAAAAATGGTGCTGTTAAATTAAAGCAAACAAAAAATCTTAATGATCAATTGAACTCTAAAACACCTAGCCAACTATTTAGCAGTACAAGCAATCAACCCAATAAACAACAAGGAACTATGCTCAAGGGTAATTTTACTGTTAAACAAGATGGAAGCATGAGATCTCAAGATTTACAAGCAAATACTGATTCATCAGAAGGTATTTATGCCAGATGACAAAATGTCAGGGGTATATTGTTTTACCCCTGTCTTCTGTCCTTTGTCTGTCTTTCTGCCTCTCCAACATAGGGTACATGGGTTGTCCAGCTCACTGCTCTTACAGTTTTTATTCAAGAACTTTTATATTATGCAGTTTGTTAAAGTAAATACTTTACATATAATATGCATATAGAAATTATTAAACATGGTCGGAAACTAATCGATACAGACACATTATATATAATTAGTAAAGTAACTTTATGTTTCATCAAGTTTCAACTTTACTAATTTTCTTAACACAACAACACAAATATATCTTGACAGTAACTTTTGTTTGATGAAAGAATTATTAAAAAGTGAAGTTGATTATTGTCATTTTGCTTAGTTTCTTCTGTTACCTATATATTCTAACATCTGACTCAGCATTTTTTATATGACCGCAAAATTTTATGACCGCAAAAAATTTTGCGGTCGTATATTGGTATGACGTTGGCATCGTCGTCGTCATCCGAAGACACATTGGTTTTTGCACTCCAACTTTAGTTGTAAGTGAATGGATCTCTATGAAATTTTACCATAAGGTTAAATACCACAAAAGGAAGGTTGGGATTGATTTTGGGGGTTATGGTACCAACAGTTAAGTAATTAGGGGCCAAAAATAAGCATTTTCTAATTTCCAGACAATAACTTGTGGAAAGGTGTATGGATCTCTCTGAAATTATACCACAAGTTTCCATACCACAAAGGGATGGTTAGGATTTGCTTAGGGGGGTTATGGCTCAAACCGTTTAGGAATTAGGGGCAAAAAAGGGGGAAAAACAAGGTTGTCCTGGTTAATGGACAAATACTTTAGTACAAAACATAATGTAAAGCAGTGTAAGGGAGATAAATCAAATACATCATTTGAATTACCTCCCTTACACTGCTTTTTTAGCTCACCGGGGCCGAAGGGCCCCATGTGAGCTTATGCCATCACTTGGCGTCCGTCGTCGTCCGTTGTATGTCGTTGTCGTCTGTCGTCGTCATCTGTTGTCGTAAACTATTTCAAAAATCTTCTCCTCTGAAACTACTGGGCCAAACACCTTTAAACTTTACCTGAATGTTCCTTAGGGTATCTAGTTTATAAATTGTATCCGAAGTTTTGATGCATCAACAAACATGGCCGCCATGGCTAAAAATAGAACATAGGGGTAAAATGCAGTTTTTGGCTTATATCTCAAAAACTAAAGCTTTTAGAGCAAATCTGACCTGGCTAAAATTATTCAATTGGTTAAGATCTATCAACTCTGAAATTTTCAGACGAATCAAACAACTCATTGTTGGGTTGCTGCCACCGAATTGGTAGTTTTAACAAAATTTTGCAGTTTTTTGTTATTATTTTGAATATTATTATAGATATATGTAAACTGTAAGCAGTAATAATGTTCAGCAAAGTAAGATCTACAAAAAAGTTAACATGACCATAATTGTCAATTGACCCCTTAAGGAGTTATTGCCCTTTAAAGACAATTTTACACAATTTGTTCATCAAGTTTGCTAACATTTAAAAATCTTCTCCTCTGAAACTACTGGGCCAATTACCTTCAAACTTTAACTAAATGTTCCTTAGGGTATCTAGTTTATAAATTGTATCCGAAGTTTCGATTCATCGACAAACATGGCCGCCATGGCTAAAAATAGAACATAGGGGTAAAATGCAGTTTTTGACTTATATCTCAAAAACTAAAGCTTTTAGAGCAAATCTGACATGGGGTAAAATTGTTCAATTGGTCAAGATCTATCAGCTCTGAAATTTTCAGACGAATCGGAACAACCCATTGTTGGGTTGCTGCCACCGAATTGGTAGTTTTAACAAAATTTTGCAGTTTTTTGTTATTATTTTGAATATTATTATAGATATATATAAACTGTAAGCAGCAATAATGTTCAGCAAAGTAAGATCTACAAAAAAGTTAATATGACCAAAATTGTCAATTGACCCCTTAAGGAGTGATTGCCCTTTAAAGACTTTTTTACACAATTTGTTCATCAAGTTTGCTAACATTTAAAAATCTTCTCCTCTGAAATACAGGTGAGCGATTCAAGCTCTTGAGAGCCTCTTGTAATTATGTATAAAGTAATGGTTAATGAACAATTAAGACAATTTAAAACAGTGTAAGGGAGGTAATCCAAATACAACGAAGAAATGCATATTTATAAAGGAAGACCAGTAAAAATATCTGCAAATGTTGCATCTTTTTTTTTTTACAAAAAAATCCATATGAAAGATTTGACACCATATTTTAAATTCTATTATAAGATATATTAAGTTAGCACTATGGTAAATTTAAATGGGTAAGCATGGTTGCAAATTCCATTGGAAATTTGAATTGAGATTATGACCATATTTTGAGGGAAAGAATTTTTTGGGGGAAAAGGGGGGGTGGGGGTGGGGTAAAAAGAAATTGTGGAGGGTCAATTTTTTCTCATTTCAGATTTCAGAAATTAAAAAGAATTATTCTTCAAATATTATTTTTTTTTTCAAATTTCAAATATTGAAAAATTTCAAGAAGTAATCTTTAATTGCACAGTATATAGCGCATTAGATTTGTAAAATCTTTGACCACATTTATTTATTTGTTATGCCGAATCTGATCCGTGTATTTAGATTTTTAATTTTGGGTCCAGTTTTCAAATTGGTCTACATTAAGGTCCAAAGGGTCCAAAATTAAACTTAGTTTGATTTTAACAAAAATTGAATATATGGGGTTCTTTGATATGCTGAATCTAAACATGTATTTAGATTTTTGATTTTGGGCCCAGTTTTCAAGTTGGTCCAAATTGGGGTCCAAAATTAAACTTTGTTTGATTTCAACAAAAATTGAATATATGGGGTTCTTTGATATGCTGAATCTAACCATGTATTTAGATTTTTTATTTGTGGGCCCCGCTATCCAGGCCTCTACAATAACTTTGTTTTCAACTTGTCCAGTAGGACAAGTACATACCAAAATTTACTTGTCCGAAAGAAATTGTAACTTGTCCAAAAAAAATCTTAATAATAACCTTTTTTTGCATTTTAAGTTGATTCCAGGAACAAAATGAATTAGAACAATATAACAGAAGTTAGTTTTTTTAAGCTGAAAAAAAGTTTATTCAAATGCAATCAATAAAAAAAAGAAGATGAGGTATGATTGCCAATAAGATAACTCTCTGCTAGAGACCAAATGACACAGAAATTAACAACTATTATAGGTCACAGTATTGCAAGTATTGTTTTTTTTTCTACATATGATCAAATCTGATTTTGTGAAATTTATGGTAAATAATTTCTTTATTTTTATTTAAAAAATATTTTTGTTTAAAAATTACTGGTTTGGTATTTATTATAAAGCAACAGAATTGTTCCAAGCTGGAGACAAACTGTCTTGTAAAGTTATCCATCTACAAAGCGCATGGCTGATTCGGATCAGTAAGACTGGTTTCTGATAATAGTATGCCTTTTACCTGTTAAAAAGTACCTGACAAAGAACCAGTTTTTAAGTTATCGATTGCAAGTAAACATGTCAAATTAATACTTGTTTTTATCTTCTTTTCTTGTTTTTTGTTTATAATTACTTTGTTCATCAAAGTTGGATTAAATTTATTTTATGCAGAATAAATTTACTTGTCCCATCGGACAAGCTTGATATAGCTTTTACTTGTCCGACCTTTTTTTCATCTGGTACCGGACAATCGGACAAGCGTTATTGTCGAGCCCTGCTATCACATTGGTTCATATTGAGGTCAAAAGGGTCCAAAATTAAACTTTGTTTGATTTCATCAGAAATTGAATTAATGGGGTTCTTTGATATGCCAAATCTAAACATGTGTTTAGATTTTTGATTATGGGCCCAGTATTCAAGTTGGTCCAAGTTGGGGTCCAAAATTAAACTTTGTTTGATTTCAACAAAAATTGAATATATGGGGTTCTTTGATATGCTGAATCTAATCATGTATTTTGATTTTTGGGCCCTGTTATCAAATTGGTCCACATTGAGGTCAAAAGGGTCCAAAATTAAACTTTGTTTAATTTCATAAAAAATTGAATTCTTTGGATTCTTTGATATGCTGAATCTAACCATGTATTTAGATTTTGGATATTGGACCATAATAGGTAAATTAAAAAAAATTAAGTTCTTAGACCACATTCATTCTGTGTCAGAAACCTATGCTGTGTCAAATATTTAATCACAATCCAAATTCAGAGCTGTATCAAGCTTGAATGTTGTGTCCATACTTGCCCCAACTGTTCAGGGTTCGACATCTGCGGTCGTATCAAGCTGCGCCCAGCGGAGCATTTTATTCTCACATTTCTTTAAAAACTGAATTTTACTGTGCGTATTGCTGTGTGTTAGTTTATTCCACATTGGCTAGAGGTATAGGGGGAGGGTTGAGATTTTACAAAACACGTTTGATATAAAAAAAAGAAGATGTGGTATGATTGCCAATGAGACAACTCTTCACAAGAGACCAAATGACTCAGAAATAACCAACTATAGATCACCGTACAGCCTTCAACAATGAGCAAAGCCCATACCGCATAGTCAGCTATAAAAGGCCCCGAAATGACAAATGTAAAACAATTCAAACGAGAAAACTAACGGTCTAATTTATGTACAAAACAATGAACGAAAAACAAACATGTAACACAGCAACAAACGACAACCACTGAATTACAGGCTCCTGACTTGGGACAGGCACATACATACAGAATGTGGCGGGGTTAAACATGTTTATAGCAGGGTCCCAACCCTCCCCCTAACCTGGGACAGTGGTGTAACAGTAAAACAAACTATAAAAATCAGTTGAAAAAGGCTTAACTCATCAGATGGATACAAATAGACATACATCTAACAAAAACACAGAGTGTACATGGCCAGGTACTTGTACATCCCAACAACAAAAAGTACAGATCTGAGGGTACTCTCAGTTACTGACAGCTAGTTCAAAGCCAATAACAAATAATAAAAAAAATCATGT